TCTTGCACATCAATTAATAATAAACTGCATATTAAGATAAGATACCAATCAGCTTGTCTTCATAAAAGGAGCACAATCATCATCCTTTTATATTTTTTTTTTCCCAACATGTGCAAGTGGACATCTAAATTTCGATTTAACCGTTGACCTGATGACAATATTAAACTTTACAGCTACGATCCATGTTCAAATTGACTTTGAATCACATGTGGGTTGGATACTTTATTTGCTGAGTTTTCTTTTTTCTTTCCTCTCGTAAAAATTTTATGTTTTCTAATCATGAGACTTTAGTAACCTCCTTCACCGTTCTTTTCATTTTCTTTCTTGTATAGATCAAGAAAGCAGATCACAGTGTTAAAGTCTTAAAATTGTAAAACGTTTGTTGAATCTATACTTTTCTTTCACTTATTCCAGACGTGAACATTTGAAAGAATAAAGGGAAATTGAAAGATAAGATTTTGAGAATGCTCAAGAATAGGGAACAAGCCAGAAGATGAAATAACTGTAGTTTGATCCTTAATTAACACATGTTCTTTAGAAAGAACATAATATAACTCACATTAATGTACAATTGGTAGACAATACTTGTGGGGTCAAAATTGAGTTCAGAAAAATCATAGACATGTACAATGATCAGTGATTGAAGATGTTGAGAAGGGAAACTCGGTTCCTAATTAGTTTTCTTGAGAGCTGCTCAATTCCTAATTCTAGATCCTGAATACACATCTCCAAATTTTCAAGATGGCTTTGAAGATACACGATAGAGGAAGACTTGTGACGGAGGAGAGACAGCAAAGTTGCATCTACTGTCTCAAATTCATTTGTGTTTGATTCTTGAGAGTCACAAGAAACTCTTTTAGGCTGCATCAGCTTTGAGATTGCCGACCATCTGCTCTGTTTTGGTTGTCCCTTGGGGTCACAGATAAACACCAACAAAGATTCTAATGACTTCATTGTGACCTCTTCTGCTTCTGTTAAGATACTAAGCACAGGCAAAGTCCCACGATCTTTGTTTGAAGGAAAAACTGCAGACTCACTCTTGATCGCTTTCAAATTTCTCAAGGCCTTTCTAATTGCCTTCTTCAATTTGTTCCTTGAAGCCAAGTAGTTTCCACCCTCAATTGTGCAAACGGTTTCATCACCTTTCCTTCTTCGGATGACTGAGTGAAGTTCATGCAGGCTTTCCTTTGATATTAGTAAGCATTCCTTAGCTGTACTGCAGATATCCAAGAGCCTCAGAGACCCTTCCAGAAGGCCATCAACACATTTATCACTGCACTCTCGTGCTAATACTTGTTGTTTGGTTGTCAAATGAAGCAACTTATCAGTGCAGTCATGGAAATCCAGCAAACCATCAAGTTTGTGGCTTAGTGAAGATGATGATACTGAAGAAGAAGCTTCACAATCCTTCAATCTTTGAAGATGCTCCTCATATTGCGATATGACTGGGTGAGGTGCGGATGGAAAGCTGTTGCTTCGAGTGTGCAGAGAGCTCTTTGTGTTTGTTTCAGTGACTGCCATTTATCTTTTATTTTCAGAAAACAAAAGGGTTAGGGATAAGACTGTGTTGTGTGTTCTGAACTCTCGAGTCTTCGAGTTTTAAGGGTTGGCAACTTAGCATCTACTCTATATATAATGGAGGAATTGTGGGAGAAGTTTGCTATTTAATTTTTCCCTTAAATGCCACATAATGAGCTTGTGATCATATCATATTACATGACAAGGGAGACAAGAAGAATATATTCCCTTTAATATCTAGGCCTGGCAATGTTTATAATGCATCCACCCTTCCTCATCCTTGAATTTTCTAACCTTGCCAATCACATAAAATATCAGACACCATGGAGCATGCATCATAATAGAAGCTATTGTCTAGAGAAGGAGTTGTTTCAATTGATAAATAAAATTCAGTTTATGAACTTGTCTACCCAGAGCAAGACAGGATCGACATCAATGAATCAATTCAATATTTATTACTGTATAAACGTGTGCTAATATTTCTGCATAATACATGCATTTGCAATAAATTATTTGAAATGACCTGGGAACACTGCATGGTTATCGCCATCCAGATATGAACAATCTTTGATTTGGTTACGATTATCAAGCCCTGTACAGTTCAACAACATGTTCAGTTTGATTGTACTTACAAAAGGATCTGCTTTTCCTCCAGCAGGCACGAGATCCATTTCCGATGTTCAATGCAATCACCTGCTCTATTGGAGTTCACAATTTGAGATTTTATATCTTATAACTGAAAAGATGGAGGAGACATAGCAAAGGTATCTCATCTATAGGCAGATATAATATTCGTGTGATTCCCAACTTAAAAATTAAGAAATGGGGTTTAGTAAGCTTGATTCATGAAAAGCATCGACCAAACAATTACGGTGTGACATTGATGAACTATTATATTAAGAACTTGTAAAGATGCCAATTTAGGAGTGTTCCTGTGCAAGACACATTTCATTAACATGTTTATATCTGTTCAGTTACATATCCCTTCTGAATAATGGTATTTTTTTCCTTGTATCCAACTAATCTCAATAGAGGGAAGGCACCAAAGACTAAAATGTACATAATCACCATGTAATGATAAAGTTTCATACTACCGGCAGAACAAAACCAGATAGCTGGTATCTTGTCGCTGTACTGCATTGCTTAAGTATCTTCCTTACACCCTTCATGTTTCCTAACCAATTTGGTTCAATTAATTTCTAGTACTAATGACTCAGTGATAACAACTAACAGAATGAAAAATAGTAGCACAAGTTCATACATTTATGAATGCTTAATTAATATATTGATTTCAGAAAATAAAGATTCTGTCTCTTTTTCTTGTCATGTTCTAGGTAGACAAGTGCATAAACTCTCCTCCACATAATATCTTTATGATGCATGCTCCACATTTGATACTTTGATTTTGCAAAGATGCCTTTTTTTCGATAATATAATTGGGAAAATGAAATAATTTGGTGGATGAGAAGTCTAGGTGCATGGGAAGCATTGCCAGCATCTCAGACAACTCAGGTAAGATATTCCTCTTGTCTCCCTTGTGTAGAATAGCAATCTCCCTAAGAAGAGGAAACTTAGATCCAAATAAATAAAATATAATCGGATGATCATGATGTGAAGCTTCAGGAAAAAGATTAAAAAAAATACATTGACTCCCATAATGTGTTTGCTATATATACAGTAATGCCAACCCTTAAAACTCAAGACTCAAGAGTTCAGAATAGACAAATATACATCCTATTTCCTCCTAGGCCTTTTGTTTTCTGAAAAGAGAAAATGGAAATCAGTGTAACAAATGCAAAGAGTTTTGTTCACACTCCATGCAACAGCATACACTCAGTCATCAAGAGAAGGAAAGGTAATGAAACTGTATTCACAAAATACTTGGCAGTTGGAGAAACAAGTTGGAGAAGACAATCGAAAAGAACTTGAGAAATTTGAAAGGGCTAAAAAGTGAATCATCAGTTTTCCCATAAAAAAGATGCCTTCTCAATGCTCAGTGTCTTAACAGAAGCAGAAGAACTCACAATGAGGTCATTAGAATCTTTGTTATTGTTTCTTTTTGACACAAAGCAACAACAAAAGCAGAACAGGTGGTCATCCATCTCAAAACTGGTGCAGCCTAGAAGAGTGGCTTGTGACTCTAAAGAATCAACAGCCTCAGTCACAAGCCTCTACACAGAGTATTTCTGTGATTTTTTTGAACTCAATGAGTTCTGTCTCCCACTGTACATTAATGTCGATTAAGTTTTTTTTGTTAGAGAGAACATGTTTTAACTAAGGACCAAATTATAGTTATTTCACTTTTCTCTCTTTTCCCTATTTTTTACTACATTCCACATATTGTCTTTCAATGTTTACTTCTAAAATAAGGGAAAGGAAAGAAAAGGGTTAAGCAGATAGTTTTCATTTGAAAACTTAACAATTTTATCAGCCTTCTTCTTCTATACAAGAAGGAAACTGGAATGAAAGGTCAAAGAGTAAGAGGAATAAGTCTTACTATTAGAAAACTGAAATCCACTGGTGATCCAAAGTCAATTTGAACAGGTGTCCTAGCCCTAAAGCTTAAGATTTTCATTTGATTGATGATTAAATCAAAATTTTAATCTATGTACTGCACATCTTCTCAATTTTTAAAATTTAAGGACAATGGGAGAAAAAATGCTGATGATTGTGCAAGACAGCAGAGGAATGGAAATAAATAACACATTAATATAACTCAATTACACATAATACAATTCAATTTTATTGCTCACCTTACAAAGTTATGAGTCCCACTTCATTGAATTATGACCATATCTACCACTAAGTATGACTGAAAATATAAATCTCAAAGACTTCACTTATAAATTAGTAAAACAAAGAATTGAAAAATCAATCATTCTGAAGTGGACTGTGTGGCTCAAGTTTGTATGTTTCTTTTCTGTGGTGCGGTGGCGGTTTTGCCATCTGAAACGATGAAAACATCTGTACAAGTAAAGATTGGTGTTTAATATTTTTATAGTTAGACAGTATTAGTCATGCATGCCATTTAAAAGTTGGTTGTTATATCTTGCATAGGCTTAAAAAAATTTAATTTTACTTAACAGGATCCAATGTTGAAACCTGGTGTGATAGGAAGTAGAATGATGTATACAAAGGAAGGAATATATGAAAAAGAAACATATACATGAAATAATTAAAGCTGAAGGGCCCACATATTTTTATATAGAAATATTACGTAAACCTGAAAATTTTGGGTGACCACAGCATTACCTCTCTGGTTCCATCCACAAGTTCTATGGTAAGTTAGAAACAGGAAAACAGAGGGAAAACAATGTAGATGAACAAGCTTAAGTTTGACTTTCACTTATTATAGTTTTGTTTTAATGGAGTACGCATGCATTGAACCTCAAGAATCTTGCAAGTTGATATGAATGGTATTATAGAATTTACAGAAAACAGCCCAAGGTTTATGGGCGGACCAAATATTCGTGTATATATTGATATCAATTATATATACATATATCCCTTGAGGAAAAATGGCGTCCTCTCCCTTGAACCCAAAATCCCATTCTCATGGCCGCTCAAGTAGCTTGCCCTCTAGATCACACCCTCTCATTCTAGAATGCAATGAGCACTTGGACAGCTTAAGGGCTTCCAAAGCAGCCACCTTTTCCTCATTGTTTCTTTGCCAAAACATAAAATGCTTGCAAGATCTGATAGAGTGTGTTGAAAAATTGACCCATCTTCCCCTCACGCAAGATGTCCTTCTCCACGAGCGTGAAGAGAATTGGGTAGATGAGGTTTTAGATGGATCCTTAAGGCTCTTAGATGTGTGTAGTGCCGCCAAAGATGCTTTACTGCACACAAAAGAATGCACACGTGAGCTTCATTCCATCATAAGAAGGAAGAGGGGTGGTGAAGCAAAGTTGGCAGCAGAAGCTAAGAAATTCTTGACATCTAGAAAGGTGGTGAAAAAGGCCATCTCCAAAGCCTTGGCAAATTTGAACGGCACTTCAAAGACTTGCAACATCTCATCCACATCAGACAAAGACCACCAAACAGTGTCTTTGATTACCTTATTACAAGACACAGAAGTGGCAACACTATCAACGTTTCAGACACTGTTGCAATATATCTCAGGGTCAACACAAGCAAAGTCAAACAGCTGGCTTTCAATTTCGAAGCTAATTCAGCCAAAGAGAGTGGGTTGCTCGCAAGTGGCAGATGAAAATGAATTTGCACAAGTGGATGCAGCATTGCACTCCTTCGTATTTGCCAAGACATCCAAATTTGAAGAAACAAACAATCTGCAAAGCCACTTGGAGAAAATGGAGTCGTGCATTCAAGACTTTGAAGAAGGACTCGAGTTTTTATTTAGGCGACTTATCAAAATAAGAGTCTCCCTTCTTAATGTCCTTAACCAATAGACCAACTTACCTGGGACTGGATTTTTGTACTCATCCACACAGTTACATTTGTACATTCAAATCATACATGTATATGCCTACTGATATAATGAACTGAAAATCTTTCTGAAATTTTGTTGTTATCTCTTTAGTGGATCTTTTTTTGGGAACTTGATCATCAATTACATCAAACATAAGAATTTTCTTCCAATGCGAGTTGATACAATTGGTTAAAGATTTAGAGTTAACTCTCATCCTCCTAATGGATGCATGGGTTCTATTGCCATTGTTTTTAGTTTCTTGTTCTTTTGGGGTCGAGATTACCGGACTTTTTTCATATTCACTATTTTTAGGGGGTCCTTCCAGATTCAGAATAGATGGAAAAAAGATAGATATTCGAGAATTTGAAGAGCATACAAATGATTGAAAAGAAATATACACTTTTCTTTGATCACTTTTATGTACAAGTGTGAGAATGGTTATAAACACATTTTGTTGAGTAGTGGCTTAAAATGTTGAGTAATGTAACTCTCTTTATAATTAGTTGTCTGAGAGGCGTTCAATTCCAACTATAATATCTTCGATGCACAACTCTAGATTTTTCGCATGTATGTGAAAATTGTCAGTTACTGAAGGCTTGGCTTTGAACAAATGTGAAGCTTCAACACTGAATCAAACATTGCAAATTCATTAGTATCAGACACTTCAGAATCAGATGTCCTTCTTTAGCTGACTTTTGGGGCCAGTAATGAAACATAACAGATTCTAACGAGTTCACAGTGACCACTTCTGCCTCTTCTAAGAAGCTAAAGATGGAAGAAATCTTCTTGTCCTTGATTGAAGAAGAAACTGAGCTTATTTTGTATTGCCTTCAAGTTTTTAAGGCCTTTCCAATTTCCTTTTCCGTGTTCTTCCTGCATGCCATGTCTTTTTGAACCTCAGTTGTGAATCTAGTTTCAGCATCACTCCTCCTGTGAATAACTGGAACAGGAATGTGCATGTTATCCTTTGATTGCAGCAAACAATCTTTAACAGTATTACAAAAATGGAAGCAACTAATTTAGGAGTTGATGATAAGTCATGTTGTTGCAATTGCAAAGAACCTTGTTCAACATGGAAGAACAAAGCATATCAAGGTTAACTATCATGCAATCAGGGAAGCAGAAAGATCAGATTAGAGCACTGCAGTTCTGAAGATCAATTAATAGATATAGTGACGAAGGCAACTGAAAAGGCAAGTTCAAATTACATTGATAAAGACTTGGAATATTAAAGAAACACCTTAAAGAGGAGTGTTAGAATTTGAGAATATTCTGCTGTCCAAGCTCTTTGTCTTTTGCCTTTTCTGTTACCATCATATGTTACCTATTGAGTAAAGAAAAACACTTGTAAAATTTATTTTCATTTACTTTGATTTGATCACCTCCATTATTAGCATTTTGAGAGAATTAAACAGACATCAAAGATGTTCATCTCTGGATGGCGATGAGTATGCAGTAGTCCCAGGTCATATCAAAATAAACTTAAGATTTTTAAAAAATACTATTACATATTCACTATAAAATTAAGGTGTATTTTAGGGCAAAATAGGAAAAGTAATATAAACTTAATATGCTTGTGATTCGATTTGGTTGAATTCAGTTCTGGAAATGAGAGCAAAAAACTGAATGTGATTGGATCTTCTGAAAATTTATTCCATGGAAATATGTCACGAATGCTAAAAGAAAGCATATGTGTGATATATAAACAATATATACAGTGATATATTTAGCATATCATCAACATAGCAATATCTACAATTGTCCCCAGAACACCATTACAAAAATTTGATGCCTTCAGATACCTAAACTAGTGATTAAGAATGTTGAGAAGGGCAACTCTGATTTTAATCAAACGCCTAAACAGAGATTCAAGTCCTTCTTCAAGATCCTGTATACAGGTTCCCAAGGTCTCAAGCTTCTTCTGCAGATCATTTATATCGTTGGACTTGGTTGACATGTGTAATGCAAATAACTGCAATGCAGCATCCACTTTTGCAAACTCATTATCATCTGCTACTTGTGCATATCCTACCCTTTTGCTTTGCATTAGCTTTGAAACTAAAGCCCAGCTGCTTCGTTTTGCTTGTGCTGATCCAGAAAAGAAATTCAGCAATGACTCAAATATGGAAAAAGTAATCACTTCAGCGTCCTTTAACAGAGTTACCAACGCCATGGTTTGGTAGTCTTTGTTAGTGAGGGTAAGGTTGCTTTTATTTGCATTACCCTTCAAATTCTCCAAGGCTTTGAATATGGCCTTTCGCACCACCTTCCTTGAGGTCAAGAATTTCTTAACCTCCACTGTGAGTTCAACTTCACCTCCTCTTCTTCTTCTTATAGTTGACTGCAGCTCACGGGTGCACTCCTTGGTGTGCAGAAGGGCATCTTTGGTTTCTGTACATGCATCAAGGAGCCTTAGAGATCCATCCAAGAGATCATCCACCCATTTCTCTTGCCGTTCCTGGACAAGTGCTTCTTGAGTTAGGGGCAACTGAACTAACTTTTCAATGCACTCATGCAAATCTAGAAGGCTAGTTAGATTTTGCCCCAGCAATGAAGAAGAGATGGTTTCATAGGCACCTAACCTTGCTAAGTGTTCATTGCACTGAAGGATGAGAGGGTGTGGTTTAGAGGGTAAACTATTAGAACGAGCATGGTTATGGAATTTGTGGGTCAATGAAGATGCTGCCATTTTTCTTCAACTAGACAAGAGGAGGGAACTGGTATTGAATATGTGCAATTCAATGGCCAACTTGCTATCTTTCCTTGCCTGTTGATCAATATATATGGCTGTGGAGACACTAGGATTCTCATCTGAAAGTAAAACAAATAATTACTAACAGATCTACATTGATATAAATATTATCAGAGATATGTTAATTTGATGTCCCCCCTATTCCTAATCTTTACAACTCATACCCTTTGTTTTATTAGTTTTTCTCAAAGTTCTATAATCCACTTGGATTTTTGTCCATGGTTTCTTTTGGTACACTGTTTCTTTATCAGAAGTTGCACGAGGACATTGACATTATCATGGAAATACAATTAAACTTTTGTCTTCTGTGAAGAATTATTTTATCCATGTTGAGGTATGCACGTGTAGACTATTTGAACTGGTAAAAGGAAAGCTCCATACCTCTTGGTAATCAGCTTGAATTAGTACTAATAAATATACAATCATTGTCATTCATCACTTCATTTGTGCACTTTGTACTCTGGTGTGACGGTGGTTGACTTGAAAGTTCATTGCTTTTTGGCTTCATTCATTTAAAAGGAAGGTCTCTATCAAGCAGATATGACATGGCAGAAATGAAGTTCCTTGTCTTCTGTTTACGAGATGAGTATGACCATTGAAGCGCATTGTCAGTTTAACTGAAAATAACAATTTTTTTTTAATTTATCTGCATAAATTATGGGTTGTGAAAATGAAAGTGATGGATTTTATGAACAAGATAGGCTCCATTCCATATCCTGATATAGATAGTGTTATTGCTGAAATATAATCTTAGTATAAACTGATGGTTGTGACGGTGTTAGTGTATTATAGACCTTGCTTTGCTGTCAGCATAAAATAGGACAGATATGATAAGGATGTGATGTGATTTGATTTGTCTCATGATAATAGGGAAGAAACCTTCACATCGTTCATGAATTGAAGTTGTGATATTTGAGCCCACGATGATAATTGGAGAGCAGTTGATCAATCACAAAGCCACCAACCGAAGGGCAGAGGCAATTGTGATATCAGCCACGTGATGTTGTTCCAATGATTGTCCATAAAACATGAAGCCTAGAAACACCAAGATTTGAATTAGATCATGACACTTAAATTCAGATAAGAACATTTAACTTTGCCTATTTTCAAAATGTATCAGAATATTTTTAGAGCAAGACATTAACGAGTCAAATTTATTCATACTTCTTCTCTTCAAATTCTTCTGTTATTCTGTAATTTATTTTGAATCTGAACTTGGAAATAACACCAAAGATAGAAGAGAGATTAAGGCTGGCATACATTGACCAGATACTTGTGAGGAAAGAAAGAGAAAAATAAGGATGAACTTAAGGGAGTCTGCAAATTAGTATTTCAAATAATTGATTTACATAAAAGTCCTGTTAGTGGCAATTGATACGCTTAAATTATATCCAGTAAATTTTGTGATATTAATTAAGACAATCAAGATTACAGAAAAGTATTGTGATAAAGAAAAGCTTGTTGGTTTATTAAAAAGATAAAACTTAAAGAGTATGGATTTTATATGACTTTTAGTGTAAGGTATAAATATTACACCGAATGGTCTTTCCAAAACTTTTTTGTGTTTTCTCTCATCATAAACAATTTCTTCTCTGCAGAAAATAACTTTGTTTTTTTATGTTGGTAATCCAAGTGAGTTTAAATTTTAAATTCGTTAAAAATGATAAAATTGAACATCGTATCAAAAATAAAGTTCATAAAACGTTGTCTTTTTAAATTTTAAATTAAAAGTAATGTGAATTGAACTTAAGTCATATTTATGTAATTTCTCCGTAATGAAATCTTCTTCTAAAAAAATAGAAACACTTCGGTGGTATCATGGACTGGTTCATCTTAAGTATAGCTTATACCATTATAATAAAAATATCATCAACAACAACCGTATAAATAAATGTTACGAAAGAAGATGTACTAATGTAGAAGGTCTTTTATGGGTTATGGATTAGGCCGAGTTACATTTACTTAATCTCTTCGTCATGAATTTTCCTTTGGAAAGAAAAAAAATAACCTTCCTCACCAATACTCAAATCTTTGTTTACAATTTTCTCAAACGTATTATGTGAACTCAGGAGCACAGAAAAAATAATAACATGCATGATTTTAATTTTCTTTTACTAAACCTTATCATTGTTTTATTGTTATTTATTATCAACTTCGTCAGTTTTGAATATTTCCTAGGGGTCTTTCAAATCTTACAAATTTGTTAAGTTTTTTCAATTCTTTTAGCTTTTTTAGGTATAAATTTATTTAAATATAAATTACAAAAACTTAACCAAAAATATTTCTATAAAAATATCGTAAGTTGTAACTTTTATGTAGTTTTTTAAAATCCAATACATCCTCCCACATAACTAGT